GAAGGAGGAGGAGTGCGGACGAGTAGTGGTCCAAAAGCTTGAACAAAGCATGAATTGCCCAAAAAGTTTGTCCAAAAAAGCACATAGCTTGTCCAAGAAGTACTTGTGATCGCACAGAACTTCGTGGAAAGATTGGTACCGCACGGCACATTTTTGGTGGGACTTTGAGGTGCATTTTATTTTTAGTGATGCTCTTCCTGAGTTTCAGGTGAGAGAAATTCCTCCGCAGGGTGTCGATGCTCGAGCGCCGTGTTCCGCATGCCAATCCACCAGTGCAGAGCAGTGGGCTTGTCTCACATGTTACGCGGTTTGTGCCTTTCTTCGTTTGCTTGCTCGTGAAAATTTTCTGAATTTTGTCCAAATGAATAGCTATGAAGCAATATAACTGTTGCATCATGACTTCCTCCTAGGTAGGTCGTGCATTAGCGCGAAAGCGGCCTACGTAAGGCCGCCGTATCTGTACTGGAGGTAGTATTTTATCCGGCTTTATTGTATCCAGCGCAGTGTCTCTCTGAAGGAATAGTGTTACTCCCATCCAATGTTGTTGACCGACCCGTGTAAACCCGTGAAGTGCGCCGACCAGGAATTACGAAAAACGAGGACCTCTTGCCTAACCCCAGTAACTGTCGACAAGCCGACTTGACGGACCACAGTACCTGGTCAGCCGACTGAGGAGTCCGGACCCAGGGAATCCAACATAACCGTAAAAGATGCAGTGATTTTTATTATTTTATTCCATTTTGTGTCAGTTTTTATTTTATTCCACTTTTATTTTTTGTTGTAAAATTTTTTATTCCATTTTTTGTCACTAGTCGCAACATTCGCAAGAATACCATGACTACCAGATTGCTGTTATTATTTCTTTTCGACTGACCGATGGAACCCTGGGCTTTCTGCATGGAAATTTTGCAAAAAATGAAAAATAAGGAACGAAAAATGAAAAAAGAAAAAAGTGGAAAATGAGAAAAAATAAAAGAAAAACTTTTTTTTTAACTTTTAACAAAATTTTTTAACAAAAAAAATTCTGACAAAATTTTCCAGTGGCATATTTGTTTGCAGGTTAACTGTGGCCGTTACGTTGGTGGACACGCAGTTCATCATCAGACTCGTACCGGTCATCCGATGGCACTCAGTTTCGCGGATCTCTCTGTCTGGTGCTACATGTGTGAATCATATGTCCACAATGAAATTCTTATTCCGGCCAAAAATGCAGCACATCGCTCCAAATTTGGTGTTCCAGATCCGCAACATGAGACATCCGCAGAAGACAGTCAGTAGTAACACAACTGATGATCCCTCCTCACAGCATAATATTTACATCCTCAAATATTTCGTTGAATTTTTTGCCTAATTCTATGCCGATATTAGTGGTAGCTAGCTTCTTGTATTCAAAAAAAGGAAAAAAAAAGCCATGTATTAATACAAAATGTATTAACACATCAAAAACAAAAAAAACGTGATAATCAGCTACGCTTTCATCGAAATTTTGCTCCTTCCTGTAAACAATGCGGCCTAGCTTGATCCTACTTGATTCGAAGCTCACAATTTGATTCTAGTTCCGTTTTACTTGATTCTAAACTCTTGATTCAGCACAAATTTCAGTTATCCTTCTAACTGTGGAATTGTCTTTTTCCTCATTTTCCTAAAATTCCGGGTTTTTGGGGTTAATCCGCTTAAGCTTTTTCGCATATACATCGATTTCCCTGGAAAAGAATTTTTGACCAATGTCTGGGATGCCTGCTGTCACGAAACTGAATTCCATGAGAACTCTCGAAATCTCAAATTCTCCCAGTATTTTGCAAAATGATATTATTTTTTTAGTTATATTCCATTTTCTCATTGGCCAAACAACGAAAAGAAAGTGAGTTTCCTGTTTTTTTTATTATGTAATTGTCATAACTTTTGAATATTGCTTCATTCAATTGTACTGATCATGATATTTTCACTTTCATTCTCTTTACAACTGTAAAAATTTATCAAAAAATTGAGGTCTAACTTTTTTGCACAATTTTCCAAAATCACAGTTCAGACTGGTAAAAAAGCAAAAGATGGCAATAACAGGCGCGGTGCTTAGTAGCTGCAAGCGGTATTATTTGGAAAGAGAAGTGCAATTCCTCCGTAAATTTCCTCTATATATTTTTTACTCGAATTTTCATTTCGTCGTGTAAACAAAGGCTAATGGCCTCTAAACAAAATAACTCAGTCAGCTAGCATTTTGCTTAATAAATGGCAAAGGTCAAGTACCTGTCTTTTACATAGGTCCGGCAAGATATTGATACTTGATACGGCGTTTCCGTCACTGACTTGCTGTTGATCTTCTCCAGTGACCGAACCGAAAACTACGCCTCTGAGTTCTATCCTGAGCTCGCCACATCCACAACACTCCATATAATCGAGTTAGCGGGTCGGACCAGCGCATCGATGGCCCTTCTGCTAAACTTTTTACATTCCGTGAGTGCCAATCGATAACGCGTTTCGTCCATCCGTTGTCAGTCATCCTTGCTACGTGACCGGCCCAGCTTCTTGCAGAACCTCTTCTGTTATATCTTTCACACGAAAGCGTAAATCGAAGCTCATTGTGCGTACACGTTATGTTCTGCTGGCATCCAGCATTCGGACATGTTTTGAGAAAAAAGGATATAGTACAACTTTGCTCTATCGTAACAGTTGGAATGAAAATTCACATGGAAAAAAAAAAAGGAAATGAAGCAACATGGATTTTTGGCAATGCGAACGAATTTTTCTTAAAAAAATGTGCTGGGTGGAAGTGCTCCTATCGCTCAATGATTAGGTCGGTAGTCCCTTAAGCAGAAGGGAAGAGCAACACGGCTGCTAGAAGGCTGACTGCCAGACAATAAAGCAACTCATGTTATGAATTCCAGAATGCTCAATGTACATTGTAATCCACCGATAACTTCACTATGAATTTTACATGTAAAATGTACAGTTATAAAATTTTCATGTGTAAAATGCGCAATCTGCCGACGTAATTTTTGAGTATTTAGCAGCAGGAAAATAAAGATACTCCCTTAAATGCAGAAAAGATCTCATTTAAAGAAAAAATGGATGTGAATAATATAATATAAATATAACACAAAAAAGTATTTTTGACCAAACTCAAAAAAAAAGGTAAATGCATTTTACAGCACGCCTTTTCAGTACTTTTATGCGGTGTAGTTGCAGTGCTGCAATAGTCAGCAAAAACGCATATTGTGATAACCGTGTTTGTATCTATGTGTGCGATGTGTGTGTGTGTGTGTGTGTCTGTTTGTCCGGCTGTTTTGACTGGGCAGTTAAAGAAGTTCGGATTTTGGAATTTTACTGAGTTGCCTGGCGAGTTGCGATCCCAGGGACGTGTTGCCAACTTTCATGCATGTTTACGTTTCACGTAGCGAACAAATGAAGATTTTGGCGGAACAGTTGCTAAGTTGGAAACCAGAAAATTATGAAGCTGTGATTCTAAGCGGATGTCCCCTGCTCACGTACAGACAGCCAAAAGATTACAAGTCCAGATTCCTAATGCGTCTGCGTCTCACATATGGAAAAGTGAAAAAAATTTTTACAAACTCAGGAATCAGAAAAGCTAGAAAGCTGAAATTTTAAGTGGATGTTCCCGGCTCACTCACAAACATAATGTTTTGAATTTAGCTTCTTCGTACGTTTCGATAAATGAGAAGGAAGTAAGTCGCCCTTTGTTGTAAAATCAATTCTTGAGCAGCACAGAACGATGTACAGCAGCGCCGGCTTGCATTTTAATCTTTCCAAGGCATAACTGAATTAAAGAAGCGCATGGGAATGATGCAGTAGAATAAGTAATTACTCGTCAATACCGATGGCGGCCGGACGGCTAGTTCACTGGAGCACA